CGCGTCACTCCCGTCCGTAAGCGGTGCTCTTCGGTCATGCGGTGCCGAAGGGACTCGATGCGTTGGTCTTTGGCGAGGAGGTCGGTCTCCAAAGTCGAGATGCGGTCCGTGGCTTCCGAGAGGTTTCGCTGCGTTGTCCGGAGAGAGCCACGAATCTCCTTCTTTTGGCTGTCGCGACTGGCCAGATGGGCCTTCAAGGCCGAGATCTCAGAGCGAAGGTTGTTCTCCGTCGACTTGGAAGTGTCTGAGGCTTCGTTGGCCTTGGTGAGAGACCGTTGAAGCTGCAAGATACGATCGTTGAGAACCCGCTCCGTCTCGCTGAGCTGGGCAGTGGTCGCACGAGCGTCCTGCATCAAGGCCTGGACGATGCCGACCTCGGTTTCGAGCTTGACGACCTTTGCATTCGCTTTCGCAGACTGCTCTTCAGCGAGTGTTGACCGTCGGTTCTCCTTCGATAGCTCGGACTGAGCATGGTCCCTTTCCGCCGTTACCTTGCCGAGTTCGCTGGTGAGGGCGTATGTTCGGTCGTCCTGCTTCTCCAATCTCCCTCTCGCTTCCTTGACACTGACATTAAGCCTCTCGTTGTCGGTCCGGAGTCCAATGATGGTGGCTTGCTGCTCAGTGTTCGCTTCCGTCAGCTTCTGGTTCTCGGTCTGCAGCGGGGCGAGCTCCTGTTCCAGTCCCTCCTTTTCCGCCACCAAGCACACGACTTGGGATTCAAGGTCTCTGGACTTCCTGACAGACGAGTCGAGGTTCTCCTCAAGTTGCTTGATCTTTTGGCCGAGCTCGAGAATGGTGTCGGCCTGTCGCGCATTGTCCTCGGTGGCCAGAGACAACGAGTCGTCGACGTCACGCTTCGCGGCATCAAGGATGATCAGTTGCTCGCCTAAGCTGCTCAGCTGAGAGGATAGGGCATCCGCCTCCTGGACACAGGCTCTGGTCTTCTCAAGCTGATTCTCAAATGCGAGCCTGAGTCGGGCATTGTCTTTCTGCATCCTCTCCCAGGACGACTGTAGGTCATAACATTTCTCCTCCAGGCTATGCGTCTCCTTCTCCAAAGCAGCCTTCTCGTCTGCAAGCGTCGCCGTTTGAAGCTCAAAGTCTGTGATTGTCTTCTCCAAGAGTCCCTTGTCTTCTTGCAGGGTCTGTTTCTCTTTCTCGAGTTCACTCTTGTCGTGCTCGAGGGTTTCGATTAGCCTCTCCGCGACAGCGAGGTCTTCTTCGAAGGCCTGCTTCTCTTCTTCCAAGGCTCCGAGCCTCTCGACCTGAGTCAATTTGTCTGACTCGAGAGCCTTCATTTCCTCGCCGAGCGCCTGTTTCTCGGAGTCAAGAGCCACGTTCGCGGTGACGAGTGCCGAGTTCTCTTTGGTCAAGGATTCCTTATCCTCCTCGAGGGAACGTATCGTTTCTCTGAGTATTTGAATCTGTTGTCGAACGGGGAGTCTCGTCGTCCGTTCGCATCTCGTACCTGTGGCGTTGGAGTTGTCGCCCAGGTCGTTCGCGCCCCCTCTTGGGATTTGGCTGACGCTCTCTCCGGACGTCTTGGGGGTTCGGGGGGGCATGGTGTCTCCGTGCTTGGTAGCAAAGTAATCTTCGGTGTGCTGAAATGTATATGGTAGGGTAGGTTGCAAGATGTTGATAAGCCGCTTGATGAGATTTCCAGCGCAACGACTCAAGAGGAAAGGTCTATTAATTATACTCAACAGGCCTACCACTGTGAATCCGGAAACATATTCTGCAGACACGATTGGACAGTAGCCTCCAGACAAGGCGACGAAACACAGTGGAACAACACATCGAGGGCTCGTCGAACACGAATAGATTCGTATTCGCAGTCGGGCCAAAATCAAGGCATCCAGGCGCCCGCAAGACTCGTCACCTAACCCATTGGCACCCTGCAATGCAAGCGGAAAAGTTTTTGGGTTTGAGGCTCAAAAGTCATCTTCTGCCCGTCACATTCGACCAACGAGAAGAAGCAAACTGGGTTTGCGTGCACTGCCTCTGACTGATCTTGACCAATCACTGAACCTCGTGATCAGTCGGGCTGTTATCGGCTTCTTGGACAGACGCCTTATTGCCCAACGAGGCATTGTTGAGACATTGCATTGTCGGGCATGATTGGTCATTGCATTCTCCATCCTCACGCCTCATCGTGCTCAACCCGACTGCGGCCTGGGCGATCAGCGAATTTGGGCGCCGGGATACTTGGATGTAGCATTTGGTTTGAGCGGGTAGATCGGCTCTGAGAATGGATTCATGTTGACTGGAGGATCTCATCAATTCAAGCCCCTTCTCGTCGACAGCCGATTGCTCAGCTGGGCAATGCGTCCTCGATGAAATGTGCCTACTTGCGCAGCTTCTTGAAAAGCCACACCTCGGGCAGGCCTCGATTATACGGATGTCGATGGAATCGTGTGACGTTTTGTTGTCAACGATATGGTTGTGGGAGTCGAGGTTTCCAATAAGTGGGCAGTTGTGATTGGCTGGCTTGTTCATACAAGTGGTGCATCGCCCGAGAGAGCCGGGCCCTAAAGCTGTTAGCCCCGTGAATGCTTCCGTCGTCGCTTGAGTGCTGGCCTCGGCACGGTCTGTCGGTGAGGGGCTTTCCTTGACCATGTTGATTGGGACTTGTGGGAGCCAAAGACGGTGGTCGGCGTTATCGTGGCTAGACCCGCCAACCAGGGCGGCCGATAACCTGCAACTCGATGATACGACGAATGTCTTTGCCAAGGCCACCGATGCGCGTGCTAACCGGGTAAACCAGCTCTGCCAGACCCGGCAATGCGGGCTTATCACGGATCTACCATCAATAACCCGAGGAAGTGGATCGCACTCCCTCCCCCATCCTCGCCAAGCTCTTGGTGATGTCAATGGCGCTGTAAGCATAAAAGCTGCTGGGACTGGCATGTTGACGAGTGCTTCACTTGCAATTAGTTCTCAGGGTTTCACATCGAAATGACCAAACTCACAAACCTTCTGCTCCTCCTGAGCAGCGTCGCGGGTCTCGGCAGCGCCCATCCCCATGGCCACGAGGCGCGATCAATCCACCAAGCACCCATCGGGGATCCCAAGCTCAGCATCAACGGTATCCCATTCTCCACCCGAGCGCACTGGATGCGCCAGGCGAACCTCGCGCTCAATGCCCCTTGTCCATTTGCCGCGTTCGGCAGTGTCATCGTAAACCACACCGCCACTCCCGGCCTCGGCGCTCTCGTCTGCACCGGCGCCAACTCCAACAGCGCCACGGGCAATCCCACTCTGCATGGTATCTCCCCCTCCCCCTTCATGTTTTCACCCTCCTCGCACTCACAAGGACCACCAGGCGAAATGGCCGCCATCAACAACTGCTCCGCCATCCTGACCGACCCCTCGGGTCCATACAAACTCAAACCCTCCCAGGCCCTCGCCGCCTTCGCCGACCTAACACTGTACACCAACGCCGAGAGCTGCCCCATGTGCGCGTCCGCCATTCGCTGGGCCGGGTTCAAGGAGTACGTCTACGGCACCAGCATCGACACGCTGATCAAGAAGGGGTGGGGACAGATTCGCATTTCGTCCCTGGAGGTCATGGCGCAGAGCTTTGATCTGGGGAAGCCGACGCGGTTGATTGGGGAGGTGTTGACCGAGGAGACGGATGGCTTTTTCAGCTGGCAGTTTGATCCCGAGATGAAGTGTCCTGAGGGGTGTGGGAGAGTGAATGGGACGTGTCGGGCGAGCTAGGGATGGTGATGGTGATGGATGTAGATGATGAGTTATGATTATGAGGTTGGATGTGAAACAATGAAATGGTTTTTGAAATGACTCGAGGTGTCGAGGAAGTGAGTTCGGCAGGGAAAGAGCGGCTGGCCGTTGCCTCAGGATGTCCAAATTTGGCGACCATCAACGTCAATCGTCACGTCAATCGTCAACATCTACACAACGCCATGCGCCCCACAACATCATCGGGACCTTCGGCAACTCAACTTTACCTCGGATCTGCCTCCATAGGGCAAAAGCATAAGCTCTCTCCCCAACAGAACAGAAGGTGTTGGTGGTCAAGCGGGTCAGCGTGAGCTGGCTTTCACTTCAAGTTCGACGTCAAAGGCTAACGAGTTCGATTCTAGCTCCAAAACCGTGCTACTCCTACCTTCCTTCCGAACAGTCCTTCACACACGAAACCTTCCTACCTTACTTCCGAACAATGCTTCACACACGAAAACTTCATGCATCCACAGAATTACGAACTTCATGTGAGCTGATTTATGTTTGGGCCGAGCGAGTTTGACTTGACATGACATGTGATTGGTCGACTTCTACAACGTTACATGAACTTGATCAAGATGACATGTGTAAAAGCGAATGAACTTAGCTTGACAGATGCGAACATTTACCTTGGATCGATATTCCGGATCATGAAACCAACAACAAAATAGTAAGCCGCCCTCTTCAGATAACCGCTCAGCACCCAACACCTTCTGTTCTGTTTACTTTTTGCTGGTCTTTTCAGGGGTGACTGGGCTTGTCCACGCTTGAGCCCGCTTCTCAGGCACGCATCCAAACACCCTTGCCATGAAAACTGCTAATTCGCGTCACTCTTTGAGCGTTTTCTCTCCAGAGGCAGCAAAGAGATACATCTCGCAAACGAGAGGGCTAAAGCCAGAAATTACAATTGTTTCAAGGTCTAGGCGCAAAGTGCCCTAAAGATCGTGCTAAGACGCAGTCGCATTTAGCCTCGCCTCAAGCACGGTCGGGTTTCCAGGTCTCGCCGACGCACTCCCAGTGGAGCGGCTACGATCAGCTACTGATCGCCTTCCGGGATGGTCAATATTGCCCATCACTGGGGAAAAGCACCCCGTTGGCGCGCACAGAGATTCACCACGGCAAACCTGATCCTCTGAACCACTCCACTCGAACAGGGGTCGCCCCCGAGTCACACCGTCCCACACTATCCTCCACAACCGCTCTGCCTTTCCCCACCACAAAACACAAACTTCCAGCCACCACACTCATCAAACAACCACGGTTCGTTGGTCTAGCGGTATGATTCTCGCTTAGGGTAATAACCTGAGTAACGCTCAAGGACATCAGTCCGGACAGCAAAACATGCGAGAGGTCCCGGGTTCAATCCCCGGACGAACCCATCTTTTTGCTTCCCGCGTGCACGGCGAAGCATCACTGACAGTCACAGAAGGGGAGCAGACAGGTGTACCACCAGAAAGGGTTTATATTCGCGAGTCACATATATACAAGTGCTTGTCGTCCTATCCATACAGCCAACCCTTCCGAATATAAACCCTTTGCGGTTTGTGAGTTCGCATCTTTCCCTCTTTTCCTTTTTTAGTTGACCTGAGCCTGGTTGAGGTTGAAGATCCTGTTGGCGCCGTCGAAGAAGCCGCCGCCGGGGAAGTTGGCGCGGCAGAGCGACTTGCCGCGCTCAATGACGTTGTTGTTGCAGGTCAGTTGGCTCTGGGCGACGCAGCTGAGACGGGATCCGCCTGGGGGGGTGTTAGTTACTTCCCCATGGGCGATGTGGTGGGTGAGAATAACTTACAGTTGTTGCCGCCGGGCACGCAGCGGCCGTTTTGGCCGTTGACGCGGCAGGCATCCTGTTTCAGGGACGTGTTGGCAACGCAGCACTGCCCGTTGGGAACGGGACGGTTCTGGTTTTGGCGAGCAATGAGCGCGTTGTCCTGGGGAGCGGCAGAGACGAAGCCGGCGGCGGCGAAGAGGAGGGTGGCGAGAGACAGCTGCATCTTGATGGCTTGGTAGGAAAGGATGGGAAAAAAGATGAAAACCTAAACCGTTGATTGACAGGTGAATTGAAGGCCGGCCGGCGGTCTGGGTGAAGAATTGAAAGAAAAGCTGAAAGGATGGACGTTGGAACTCGAAGACTGGCTTGCGGAGAGAAAGGGGACAAACCACCACGGCGGGATGTCACAATGTCTTATAGACGCCGACGTGTTGCATGCCGACGATGGGGCTCATCCCATCGCTGCTTCGGCAACGAGTTCGGATGGTTTCCATTGTTTCCACCAGCCAGGGTATTCGCGTGGTGAGACGAGCGACATTCCACCTTGCACGCGCGCCTTTCCAAAAGGGAGGGTGGTGTTGACGACGGCAACAGGGGCGATGGTGTCAAACTTGTCTCGAGTTTCCCAGACAAGCCACGCGATTTCACCTTGTCGTTCGCGCTAGGCCTCGTTGACCGGGCCACTTCGTGGGAAATGACCCCTGTTTCGCATCTTCGTGTCGTCTGCGGTTCCACTCCCGGCTATACCTCCCCCTGAGGAGCCCCGAGGGGACCCTGCGTTGCGGAAAATTGGGGTAAAAAATAGAAAAAGATCGTGGCGCATCGCGCGATCCAAATTCCCCTTCCGATCGCTCATGGGGTTGCATGCAGAATCTGGGGTAACGGCGCATCGACGAGGCGCGGTGTCTCAACCGGGGACATTGGTCATGGACCTTATGTCTTGGCGGTGCACGATGCAGAGATCCGGTGTTTTATGATCGCCAAGATGAGCGCCTGGGTGCCGTCTACCCGGTAGACCATTTGAGGTCAAGATCACCTGGGAGCAAATACCAACTTTGAGTTCGAGTTGCTTCGCTGACAACTGGTCGGTTTGACGACGAGTTGTTAGAGGGGAGACGACACCACGCCGCCTCCGCTCGCCCGCCCTTCTGCTCGTTTGACATGGGGACTAAGGGGTCAAAACGCAACGCCGTCAACAAAAACGAGGGGGATCTGACCCATTCGCGTGGAACGCCAAGCCGAACGGCGCCGCGAGATCAAAGCACCGTGCTTCCCGGATTTCTTCTGGAAGGTAGACAGCCCAAATAAGAAACTTGTGGGGTTGCGGTTGATCGGCTGACGCGAGCGAGAATCTTATGGGAGTTTATTTGGACCGTTTCAAGGAGGTGACTGCGGTTTGTTTGTTAGGGGACAACTCCCCTGTCGAGGTCGGATTGTAGATGCGCGCCAATCAGGGTGTTGCGAGCAACAAAAGGCTTCAGACGGCCAGGTTGTCTGCATAGTTTGCGTACGACGCCTGGGCCGGTGGTCGGGATCGCAACATACTTAGCTGTGCTTGCGACTTTGTACTGCTCAATGTTAGTGCCTGATATTGACGGAGGATTGGAATGAGAGTTCAAGGCGCCCGGGCATCTCCAAGGACACAGTACCCTCGGCTGAGACGAAAGACCGGGTTCTCCTCGAGAGGTTCGTGGTGTTGTTGATGACGACTGGCTCTCGATCTCGCAGGACGTCTTGATCGACATGTTTGAGGACGGTCTCGTTCGGACAATCTGGATTCCGAGCTCCTCCTTGTCGTTGAACGGGAACATAGGATCCAGTTGCCGGGAGACTGAGAGCAAAAAGAAGGTAAAATTTGTCCTGAATATCCCAGCTTAGTCAGGTGTACACGACGCCTCCATCCACCACCAACGTCTGGCCGGTGACATAGTCGGCCTTCTCGCTGGCTAGATACGACACCACCTGAGCCACATCCTCTGTCCGGGCCGTCCGTCCCAGCGCAATCATGGGCTGGAAAGCCGTGAGCACCTCGCTCTTTGTCGAGCCCATGCCAGCGCTGATGTCGTCCCACATTTGCGTGTCGACGAATCCCGGCGCGTACGCATTGGCTGTGATGCCATGCTCGGCCATCTCGAGCGCCCACATCTGCGTGAGCCCCCGGACTGCCCACTTGGTAGTTACACTGCTCAATGGTCAATGCCAGATTCGTGAGCTTCAACTCGTCTAGCCGACCTATTTCTCTTTTCCAATAGAGAAAAGAAAGACTCACTAATGCCCCAACCCCTTCCACGGCTTAAAGCCCCCAACACTCGACGCTGCAATCAATTTCCCCTTCGTCCCTACCTCAACCATATGCCTCGCTGCAGCACGAAACGAGTTATGCACACCCACCACATTCACTCTCAACACGCGCTCCCAGTCCTCGTCGTCCAATTCCAGCATGGGCTTCACATTGATGACCCCCGCGTTAGCAACCATAGCGTTCAGCGGACCCAGCGCAGCAACCGACGACGCCACGAGCTCGTCGACGGCGGAGGCGGAGCCCACATCAGCAGCGTGGCCATGGGCTCGGCGGCCGAGGGACTGGATGGCGGAAACGGTGGAGTCGATTTGGGACTGCTGCGAGGCGATGTCGTTGACAGTGATGTCGTAGCCATCGCGTGCGAGTGCGATGGCGATGGCTCGACCGATGCCCCGACCTGCGCCAGTGACGATGGCGGTGCGGGGCAGCGGAGTGGTGTGAGAGAAGGAGCGGGTGCTTCTCACCTGAACGGTGGGCGACCAGAGCGCAGGTAGATGCAAGAAGACCCGATGGCGTTGCAGGCGGAGAAAAGACATAATGATGAGGCTACGGGTAATGTCCCAGGGGGTCAAGTTTTGTGAAGCGATGTTGCGTCGAGACCACTTGAAAATGCACGAGAGCGGGGTCAAATATTCGACCAGGAACCCTCAATGGAGGTCGGGATTCAGTCCTTATCCGAGACAAGCACCTTAGTCAAAAACGCCGATTGGCGATAGTCCATTCCGCGTTAGCAACTTCAATGAAAATTTGCAAGTGTTGAATGTCAACGAGGAGAAGCACATGAACTTACAGTGCGGGAACCGGATAAGAGCACGGTTAGTTCACTCTGGAATAGTGTGACCATTGGTGTAAACCACAAGGATCAAATCGCCGACAATTTGAACATGTCGCGGGGGAAATAGGGGAAGATTACTACGTCTCCATAATCCCCCTTTGAGAAAGTCCAAACAAAACCTTGCAGACGACAAGGCGTTGACATTCATGTTGTCTCCCACAGGTTGGACAGAACGATTCCTACTCCATACCCTTTCACCCTCCCCGCCTCGCTCTGGCCCGCCGCCAGCTCAACCCTCTCCACTGCAACACACTCAACATCACCACCTCCAGCCCTACCGCACACCCAAACAGCAAAAAGCCAAAACCGCACCCTACCCTCCCAAGCAGGGCATCCAACCCAGCCAGGCACCCCGCCGCCATCTCACACCTCACGAAATTACACGCCGCCTGCGCCGTCGCCGGCGCCTGGGGGTGCACATCCACCAACAACGTATTCAACGCCGTAAACACGGGCTGTATCACCAACCCCATCGACCCCTGGACAACCAGCACCCCTGCCATGGTAACCTCCTTTTCAAGCATCCACCCGTACGCCACCACGAGCGTGGCACACAGCGCAACTGTGTAGACCACGCTGCGCACCCTTGCTTTTTCCACGGGGAAGTCACGCAGGTCGGTCGCTTTGCCGGGCTGAATGGCTACTCCCAGGGATGAAGCTGTGCGGCGAAAGTCGACGTCTAGGAGCTTGCCTGTGGCGAAGGTTGAGATGGCGCAGGCGATGCCAAAGGGGAGGTAGATGAGGCCGGCGGTGAGGCCGGTAATGTGGTAGGTTGAGACGAAGAGAGTGGAGAGGGAGGCTTGGAGGGCGGAGTAGACGGAGTAGTTGATGGCGTAGACGAGGAGGAGGAGGGCGGTGGAGGGGTTGGTTAGGACGAGAAGGGAGGCGAGGGGGTTGGGTGGATGTCGCTTCTGGGGGGTGGAGCTAGGGAATGTGGTGGCTGCTGAGATTGACGGGGGTGACAGAAGGGGTATCAGGGGCTTGTTGAAAGGACTTCTGGCCTGGGTAATTCCGTTGCCGACGATGTTTCGAGCGGTTTCGGGGAGGAGAAGCACCATCAGAAGAAGGCATATGGCAGATGATGCCGAGAGAAACCAAAAGATCGAACGCCACGTCCAACGTAAGAGGAGCAGGCCGCTGAGAAGAGGTCCGATGCTCGGTGGTGTATTCAAGCTGATCGTTCGGGATTAGCAAGGGGCTTGAGCCGGAAGGTCGCGGATTTGGATGAACAAGAAACCTACAAGAATGCAAGGACACCAGAATACCAACCCCTTTCCGCAGGCGTGAAAAGGTCGCCGAGCACCCCGTACGCGACAGAAAAGGTGCCCGAGATCCCTGCGCTTTGCAGTACCCTGAAAGCGAATAGCAACCCGAGGTGGGATTGAGCTGCTAGCCCAAGGTTTGCGCAGAAATACACGGTCAGTCCGACCAGAAGCACCGGCCTGCGTCCGAACCTGTCTGCCGCGTCGCCCA